GTGCTCAGGGCTGGTGCACTGGGATGACCCAGAGAGATGGGATGGGGAGGGAGGTGGGAGGGGGGTTCAGGATGGGGAACACATGTAAATCCATGGCTGATTCATGTCAATGTATGGCAAAAACCACTACAATATTGTAAAGTAATTAGCCTCCAACTAATAAAAATAAATGGAAAAAGAAAATAAAGAGATGGGTCTCCCCCCCAAAAAAAAAATTTCAGTGATGGGTTTTCATAGAAATAAGAAAAACCATCTCATAGTTTGTACAGAATTGTAAAGGATCTCAAATAGCTACAGCAATCTTGAGCAAGAAGAACAAAGCTGGGGTATATAATTTCCTAATGTCAAATCATATTACAAAGCTATTGTAAATCAAAACAATATTGTATTGGCATAAAGATGGACACCTAGGCCAATGGAACAGAATAGAGAGCCTGGATATAAGGCCACACATATTCAGTCAACTAATCTTAAACAAGCAAAGCGAAAGTCGTTCAGTCTTGTCCATGGAATTCTCCAGGCCAGAATACTGGAGTGGGTAGCTGTTCCCTTCTGCAGGGGATCTTCCCAACCCAGGAATCGAACCAGGGTCTCCCCTATTGCAGGCGGATTCTTTACCAGCTGAGCTACCAGGGAATCCCCAATCTTAAACAAAGGATCCCAGAATACACAGTGGGAAAATGATATTCTGTTCAGTAAATGGTTCTGGAAAAGCTGGATTTTCACATGCAAAAGAAAGAAATAGGACCCTTATCTAACCCCATACACAACAATTCTATGTTGTTTGAAGACCAGAGGCCATAAAACTAGAACTAATGATTTTGAGGGAGGAAGTTATGATACCAAAAACACAGGAACAAAAGCAAGAACAACTGCATTAAATTTAAAAGTTTCTCCTCAGCAAAGGAAACAATAAAGAAATACAAAGGCATCCTATGAAATGGGAGAAAATATTTGCAAACCGTGTATCCATAAGGTGTTAACATTCAAAATATACTAAGGAATTCATAACAACTCTGGAAAAAAAAATCCAACTTCAAAAGTAGACATTTTTTCCCAAGAAGACATACAAATGGCCACCTATAGTTATATGAAAAGGTGCTCACTAATTAAAAATGAAAATCACTAATCAGGGAAATGGGAGTCAAAACTACAATGAGATATCACCTTACATCTGTTAATATGGCTATTATCAAAAAGTCACAAGATAACAAGTGTTGGCAAGGATGTGGAGAAAAAGGAGCCCTTATACCCTGTTGGTAGAAATGTAATTTGGAACAGCCACTATGGAAAACAGGATGACAGTTCCTTAAAAAGTTAAAAATAGAGCTACCATATGATCCAGCAACCCCAATTCTGGGTATATGTTGAAAGAAAATGAAATCAGAATCTTGAAGAGATACCGGCACTCTCACATTCACTGCAGCGTTAACCTCAACAGCTGGGAAATGGAAACAACTAAGTGTCCATCAGTGGTTTAGTGGTGTAAAGAAAATGTATTAATAGCACACACAGGTACACACACACACACACGTGTGTGCACCCTGGACTATTATTGACCTTAAGGAAACTACCATTTGTGACAACATGAACCTCATGGACATTGTGCTATGTGCTGTGCTCAATCATATCTGACTCTTTTGCAACCTTACGGTACTGTAGCCTACCAGGCTCCTCTGTCCATGGATTTTCCACGCAAGAATACTGGAGTGGGTTTGCCATTTCCTTCTGCAGGGGATATCTTCAACCCAGGGATCGCACCTGCGTCTCCTGAGTCTTCTGTTTTGGCAGGCAGATTCTTTACCGCTGACCCACGGGGAGAAGCCCTTGTGAACATTAAGTGAAATAAGCCAGGCACAGAAAGATAAATACTGCATGATCTCACTTATATGTGGAATCTAAAAAAGTCTAACTCATGCAAAGAGAAGAAGAGTAATTATAGGGGCAGAGGGAAGGAAGAAAAGAAGTTGTTGGTCAAAGAGAACAAACTTTCAATTATAAGATGAGTAAGTTCTCGATGTACAGCACAATGACTTTACAGTTAATGATGTATTGTAGACCTGAAATTTACTAAGAAAGTAGATCTTAAGTATTCTTACCACATTCAAAAAATTAATGGTAAGTGTGAGATGAGAGATGTTAGTTAACTTCATTGTAGTAATCATTTCACAATGTACACATATATCAAAACATCACATGTATACCATAAATATATATAATTTAAAAGTATATATATACATATATTTGCATATGTATATATTTATTTGGCTACACTGGGTCTTAGCTGCAGCACACAGGATCTTTTGTTGCGGCATGCGGGATCTTTAGTTGTGGCGTGTTGGTTCTGGTTCCCTGACCAAGGATTGAATCTGGGCCCACTGCATTGGGAGCATGCAGTTTAGCCATTGGACCACCAGAGAAGTCCCTACAATTTTTACTTGTCAATTTAACCTCATTAAAAACTGGAAAAATAATAAAAAAATTTTAAAATATCTCATTATATGAATATACTCTCACTTATTAAGTCTACTGTTGAAAGATATTTGGGTTGGTCTCAGGTTTTGGCAGTTATGAATATTGCAGCTATGAGCATTCTTGAATGTGGTTTTTGCTGCACTTATGTACACATTTCTGTTAGATAATCACTTTGGAAAGGGTGATAACGTATGAAAATATTTAAAGTATGTGGGTACATTCAACTAGTTTTCTGAAGCCACTATAGCAATCTGTGTTCCTACCAGCAGTGTATATGAATTCCAGAAGTTTCCACATGTGCCATCATTTGGTTTAATCAGTCTTTTTCATGTTCGCTTGTCTAATGGATATATAGTGGTATCTTATTGTGGTGTTCTCCCAAATATTTTATTGTGAAAAAATTCTTAAGCATGCAGAAATGTTCAAAGATTTATACAGTGACCATCCATATACCCATCAACCTAGATTCTACAGTTAACATATTGACATACTTGATTTATCACATATACACCAATCTGTTCTCATTTGTGGTTTTAATTTACATTTTCTTGTTGATGAATGAAGTTGAGCATTGAGTATCTTTTCCTCTTTCTTGTCCATTTGTATATCTTCTTTGATAATATGCCTGTTTGAGCTTTCTGTTCCCTTCCTTCCACTTTTTCCCTCCTGCCTTTGTTATTTATTTGTGGGTGTTTTTTAAAAAATAAATTTTAGGGGAAAAACATGCCCTTTTTGATTATGTATTTTGTTAGTTTCCTACTGTTGCTGTAACAATAACTACAAACTTAGTGGCTTAACACAACATGAATGTATTATCTTATACATTCTGCAGGTCTGAAATCTGAAATCGGTTTCACTGAACTAAAAGCAAGTTGTCAGCAGGCCTGTGTTCTTTACAGAGGACCTAGGCTTTGCCATTTCCTAGCCTTTTCCACATACTAGGATTCATCTACATTCCTTGAATCATGGCTCCTTTCTATATATTCAAAGGATATCACTCCGATTTCTGCTTCTGCTATCCTACTCCCTTTTGTGATTTGGAACTTGCTATCTCCTTCTTTCCCTTACAAAGACCTGGTAATTACATTGTGTCCATCATAGATAATCCCAAATAATCTCCCCATTTCAAGATCCATAATTTAATTACATAGAAATGTGAGGTAACATATTGGCAGGTTCCAGGAATTAGGATGTGGATATCCTGGAAGAGGGCATGATTCTGTTCACCATGTATGTTGCAGATGTCTTCTGTGATTTGTCTGTGTTTACTCAATTAATGGTAACTTTTGATTGAAAGACACTTCTATTTTTAATTTTGTCCAATATGTCAAACTTTTCCTTTATGACTAGTGCTTTTTGTGTACTGTCTAAGAAATCTGTGCCTACCCTCAAATCATGCAGATATTCTCCTGGGGTTTTCATCTTAAAATCTTGTTGTTTTACCTTTTGTATAACTACAGTCTGCTCTGAATATATTTTTATTTAATGTGTGAAGTTGAGGAGGCCGAGGTTCATTTATTTCTATATAGATATCCAATCGCACAAGCAACTAGTCATTTACTGAAAGCAGTGTCCTTTCTGTACAGCTTTGCAGTGCCATCTTTGTTGTAAATCAGGTGTCTGTATATGTGTGAGTATGTTTCTGAGCTCTCCCACTGGTATCCAAAGAATTTTCTGTGATAATGGAAATTTCTATATCTGTCCTTCTAATATGGTATCCATGTGTCTGCTGAGCATTTGATATGTGGCAGTATGACTGAGGAACTAAATTGTTAATGTTACTTAGTTTTAATTTAGATAGCCTCTGGTTAGTAGTTACCATATTGGACAGTGTAGCATATTACTCCATTGATTTATTTGTGCCATAGATCCTTCTATCAATACTATACTCTTTTAATTACTATATCTTTATAGTTAGTCTTTACATTTTTTCTTCTCCATCAAGATTGTATTAACCAGTTTAGGCCTTTTGCTTTCAATGTATACTTTAGAATTGGCTTGTCAATTTTCTCAAAGACCCTGCTGTGATTTTAATAAGAATTGCATTGAGTCTATAGACCAAATTGGGCATCATGGACGTTGTTAGACTACTGAGACTTCCAATTCATGAACATGTTACATCCCTTAATTTAGGGCTTCTTTGTTCTCTCAACAACATTTTATAGTTTGTGTGTGTGTGTAAAGGTCTTGCTTATTCTTTCTTATAAAGTTATTCCTCATAAAATTATTTTAAGTCTTTTGGTATTGTAGATGGTATTGTTTTAAGTTATTGTTTCCTAGAGATCTTTTCCAGAGTGGAGACTCCATATTATTACCACATAAGGATGAGAAGGTCGGGGAGGCCTCAGGGGTTTTTGCAGGATTAATCTCATCTTTCCTTAGCTCATAAACCTAAAGTCTGCAGGTCTTAATGTCCTTAAGGTCAACGAGGAAGGAGGCCCCATCCCTGCAGAAGCAGCAATTAGAGTTCACCCAGGATGACAACTGTTAATGAAGACATGGAGGCTCAGGAAGAGAAATCTCAGCTGTCTGTACCTTCAACTTCCATATCCCTGACTGCTACTACCTCAGCTTACCAGTTAGTGTCTGAGCTGCCCACTGAGGAGAGACAGAAGTTTGACCTTCTGTCAGCACAAGTTTGGTCTGATGAAGATAATGAAGACATACTGGAGACCCTAAGCAAAGATGAGCCAAAGGATGGAGCCCCCCATGAACGACCAATCTGGGCCAATAAAACTGAGTACCTCCTGGCCCAGGTGGGCTTCTCTGTGGGGCTAAGCACCATCTGGCGCTTTCCTTATCTGTGTTTTCACAATGGAGGTGGTAAGCCTGGGGACCAGAAATCATGAACCTACAAGGGGGTGAGGAGCCAGAGACCTGTCCTAGCTACTCTGGGGTCTCTGAGACACATAGGGGCTGAGGATTTGGGAAACTGACCTAGGCAGGGGCCAGGTACCTGAACCCCTAGAACCTTGGGAGGGTGGGAGCAGGATATCTGATTACTTAGTTTCATAAGAATTGTGAAGCTAGAGGCCTGGGTCAAGGTGAGAGAGACTAGGTATCTTGGTCTTCCAGGAATTGGGGGCTAGATACCTGGGACTGTGAGGGGTGTGGAAGAAGTTGACCCTTGATGCCTGTGGCCCTGAGGGAGGTCACTGGTGGGGAACATGTTTTCCTGGACCTATGAAGAAGTCCAGGCCAGATGGTTGGTTCTAAGAGCTCCCCCTTGATTTCCCTGCACAGGCAGTTTTATCATCATCTACATCCTGATGATGTTTTTGGTTGGGATTCCTCTTCTCTTCCTGGAGATGGCAGCTGGTCAGAGGATGCGGAAGGGCAGCATTGGTGTGTGGAAGGTCATCAGCCCCTGGATTGGTGGTGTAGGGTATACAAGCTTCATGGTGAGGAGCCCTGGGCTGCCCAGGCCTACCCTTTACACCCCATCCCCATCCTAGCCCTCATCCTGGAATGGGTCCCGTGCTTCAGTTCCCAGGGTCAAGTCCACTCGGTCCCCCAGTCCTCCCTTCAGCCAGCCTGCCCTTCGCCCGTCTCCAGAACTCTTCATGGTCCCCAGGTGTGCGTCATCGTGGGCTTGTACTACAGTGTGCTCATGGCCTGGAATCTCTTCTATTTGGTTCAGTCTTTCCAGTCTCCACTACCGTGGTTATTGTGCCCCCTATCACAGAACTCCAGTACTGGTGAGAAGTGAGGGAAGAAAAGGGCAAATGGGAGGGCTGGGAGAAGGACAGAGGATTTAACTAGGAAAAGGATCCTTGGGAGAATACACTGAAATGGGACTGGAAGGAGTGGGTGGATGTGAAGAAGGGGGAGGCATACCTGGTCCTGCAGTTTCCTCCATGGCCAGTTCACCTCAGATTCTGAATGCTCACGGACCAACCCCACCACATACTTCTGGTACCGGAAGGTATTGAAGGCCACAGATGAAATCGAGGTAGATGGGAAACCACTCTTACATTTGAGTGCCTCTGTCCTTGTGATCTGGTTAATCATCTGCATCTCCATGATCAAAGGGCCAAAGTCCACTGGGAAGGTGAGCTACCCTCTGACTTACTAGTTCAGTGGACTTCCTTCTATCTGAGATCCCCTAATCTTCTCCTAACTTGATGCCTATACATCTCCAATTTCTCATTCCCTCTAATCTGACCTCCCTCTGATTCCCAATAGCCTTTGATCTTATTCTACAGACTTCTGCCTCTGCTGAACTTTCTTTGTGAATCATACTTCCTACTCAGATGCTGTATATCTCAGTACTCCTTCCCTACATCATCCTTTTCTCTCTTCTTATCCGGAGTCTCATGATGAAAGGCGCATATTTTGGGCTCAAGAATTTGTTGGCTGCCAAGGTAAGGCATCACCCACCCTTTAAGTCTCTTATCCAAATAGTAGGGTTGATAGTCTGATAGAGACCCTCCTAGCTCCCTCTTTCACTCTCTTCTCATCTTCCATTTCCATCTTGGCTTGTCTCTCCCCTCTTTGTATCCCCATTTACATGGTACTTTTCCTTCTCAGGTACCAGCCCTGTATTCTGTGGAAGTGTGGCGCCGAACAGGAAACCAGCTCTTTTTGTCCTTGGGCCCCGGCTTTGGCAGCTTCACAGCAATCAGCTCGTACATCCCTCGGTCCAATAACTGTATCATTGATGCCTATGCTGTGGCTTTTCTCAACTTGCTTGCCTCACTGACTACCACAGTGTTTGTATTTGCTGTAATGGGCCACTTGGTCACAGATAACAACGAAAAATGTTACTTGATGTGAGCCCAATCTTTCATATGGAGATCGTCACAAAAACCAAAGTCTTAGAACTAGCCCACACAACTCCAGTCTAGGCTCCCATCACTCAAGGAAGTTGGCTATCAATATGGCGTCCTCAAACTGGAGCATCCTAAACCTTAGAAATACCTGAATTCTACCACCTCTGTCCCTTTCAGAGATGCCTTTCTAAACTAGGAAACTCCCAAAGTTGGAGGTTTTCAAAAGTGTGTTCACCCCATTCTTAACTGGAGGCTGCCATGGACAAATTAGAGGATACTTTCAGCTGAACCATTAGACAAAAAAAGGGCCTGCTGCACCAGGGTCCCCATAGTCTATTCCCCATTTTCTTCTCCTATAACATTCATTCAAAAAATGCTCATCAGATGTTTATAAAAACATCTCCTATATACCAGCCCCTGTGTTGAGCTCTGGCAACACAGCCAATGGTAAACTAGATTACCATCCCTGACCTCAAGAAAATAAGGAAGCAAATAGTGAACAGATAATCACAAACTAGATGAGGACTAGTAGTGGGAATGATGAGTAGACACAGAGGAGGGAGCTACTAACTTGGAGCAGCCAGAGAAGGTTTCCTGGTAGAGGCAATCCTGAGCTGAGTTTGTTTCCTGACAAGTAATCACTGGGAGTGTTCTTTCAAGTGTTTCCAATTCATAGACTCGTATATAAAAACATGCCATTTAAAAAAAAATTGGCCTATACCATACTACTTTTCTGCAGTTTGTTGATTTGCTCTCATAAGAGATCATGAGTAGATTTCCATGGCAGTAAATAGAGTGCAGCGAGCTAAGTAAGCATTTGTAGGAATTTGCCAGGTGGAGAAAGTTTAGAGGGCATAACTGGGGGAGACTGAGTGCAGATAGAGTAGGATAGTTTTAAGCAGAGAGAGCATCAGGGACCAAAGACGCTAAGACAATCGAGAGAGCATGGCAAGTTGAAAGAGGCTTAATAATTGAGGACAGCTGAAGTATAGCAGGTTGAGAGTTGCAAATAAAGAAGTTGAAGAGGCCAGCAGGTCAAGAAAGCCAAGAAGCCGTAACGTTATCCTGAGATTGCCTAGTAGGAGGTAAAAATCTGAAAACCCTCAATGGTACTGTAGGAAAGACCCCTCCAGGAGTCTGCCTCAGTCAGAAATTCTCTGGCCTCACACAAACATTTCTGTGATGATGAAAATAGGTGTCATGCAGGATCCTGGATACCTAGGATTCAGTGCAGGCCCTACTTTAATCAAATAAAAAACTTTAGGCTAGTAATTTCCCTTTTCATCTAGGGGCTGAGGGAGTAGGTTATATCAAAGGCCAAATGGTCCTATATAATTCTACTCCTGTCCCCAGGAATGCCAAAAAAGTGATGGATCTGATCATTGCCCAGGTCCTGCCGCCTGAGGCCTACCCTCCAGACAGTCTGTACTATGATCCGAGCTCCATCTACCCCAAGTGGCTCAACAACCTCCCTGAACACATCAAAAACAGAATCCTACCCAATTTGACTGAATGCGACTTATCTAAGGAATTGAATAAGGTAGGTAGGGGATTGGGGATAGGGCTATAGGGTTCCCCTCAAAGCCCCCAGAGCACCAGAAATTTCCACATTGCTTAGGTGTCTGTAGAATTCAGAAAGGCAATTCTCAGAAGCATCTTGGACAACCACGATCAAGATTCATAGTATCCTTTTGTGATAAGGCAGTTGTAGCCTTTGTAGCACAAAGCACTAGAATTCATATAAGCTTCTTCACCCCAACCCCAAAGAGTTGCTAGACCAGGAGGAAATCCTCATGCCTCAAGGCCAGATGAGTATAATAATATCCATGAACAGGGCTACAGATAGTTTTCTAGGGGAGAGGATGGAAATGGAGTTAGAGCTCCCCAGACTGAGCTCAGAGCCCTCACCATTCTTCCCTTCATTCACAGGTTATGATCGGTCCAGGTGTGGTCATTGTGACATTTAGTGATATCATCTCTTTGTTTTCTGGACCCACCTTCTGGTCCATCATTACCTTCCTGTTGCTGGTGAACCTGGGGCTGAGCACTGTGATAGGAATCATACAAGGCATCATCACCCCTCTCCAGGATACTTTCTCTTGCCTCAGGGAGCATTCAAAGCTGCTCACAGGTACTCTGACCTATGACCCTACTCCCACCTATGGCCATCATTTAGTTTAACCCCAGTGGGGCTTACATAGCACAGCTTCGATACTGACCTTGATTTATATCTGATGTTTCTCTCCAGTGGGTGTCTGTGTGCCTATGTTCCTGGGCAGCCTCCTTTTTGTGAGGCCCTCAGGCAGCTACTATGTGAACCTGCTGGATGACTACTGGGTATCTCTGCCCCTTTTCTTCATTGTCATCTTGGAGACCATTGCCATGGCCTGGATCTATGGGGCCAGGAGGTGATGTTCCAATTCCAGAATTTCCTGCCACACAGCTAAGAGTCCCTTTTGTTCTTACTGCCAGGCTCTTATCCCAGGGCATATGGAGAGATCCCAGTAGGGTGGGGAAAAAAGAACATGCTGGTTCCAGGGGAATATCAATGTAAACTGGGAAAGTGGCAAGCAGTCTACATCAAGTCCTTGGGGCTCCTGAGCTCTTCTTTCAACCAGGGTAGTGTGGACATCTGAAATGTGTAGTGCTTTGCTTCTGAAAGCTTGCTCTGTGGACCAGTGGCATTGGCACCACCTGGAAGCTTATCAGAAATGCAGACCCTCAGGCTCCACCCCAGACCTTTGGATCTGTATCTGTATTTTAACAGGAACCCCAAGTGATTCATATGCACACTACTATTTGAGAAGCCCCGTGTAATCCAAGGGTGGCAGTGTTTATAGGTGATAGTGACTCTTGGCATCGGTTTGTTCATTCATGCAACCAGTCACTCTCAAATATTTCTCAGAGCCTCCTATCTGCCAGGCAGGCCTTGTGGTGAGTACTGGGGAATACTGAGATAAATTAAATTTAGTTTCTGCTCTCAGAGAAAGAGAGAAAAAGGAGAAAGACATATCTTTGAGCAGGATGGAGGCAACTGAGGGAACTCTAGAAACACAGATTTTTATCTAAAGAAAATAGAAGAGTCAGTCAAGGAGATGATGCATGAATAGAATATAGAAAGATGAAGGAGAAGTTTGTCAAGGGAAAGAAAGAGGGAAGGGTGTTCTAAGCAGAAGGAACCTGAATTGTATGTATTGAGGTTAAGAAGTTGCACCAAAGAAAGCTGGATGTGTGGGCTTAAAGAAGCTACTTTCAGAAAGTTGGGCTTTTATCCTGAAGGGTGATGGAGGAGAGAGATGTAAAAGAAATCCCTGGGGCTGGGACAGAAACCAGACTGAAAGTGGATGAATTAGAGGCAAGAAGACTGGTTGCGGAAGTGTGAACAGAAAGGTTTAAGTAATGTTAAGGGTTTTCTCCCAGGTTAGGTTTGGACTGACCCCCACACCAAGGCTGGGTAAGGCTTGAATGGGCCTCCCAAAGTCTTGTGACCCCTCCTCCCAGGTTCCTTACAGACCTGAGTATCATGATGGGCCGCCCCATCTCCCCCATCTATCGTTGGCTGTGGTGTTTTCTGTCTCCATTTGTGCTGCTAGTCCTGTTTTTAAGCACCCTGATTCACCTGTCTGTGAAGGATATCACCTACTTGGCATGGGACTCAAGAAATGTAAGCTTCCCTCCCCAGACCCCAGAAACCCCTAAGGAATGGACATGAGACTTCTCAGTCCACTTTTTTACTCCCCACTCCCATTCCTAAGTCCACTCTTACAACTAAGACACAGTCATCTAATTCCCTGGAGATTCAGTTATTTAGTCTGTTGCCTTGGTTTGTCTCCTATCCCTACCCTCTTCAGCCTTCCACTTCAGAGAACCTGGGCATTCTAAACCTTGTTCCCTTTTCTCCACAGTCAAATGAGGTGACCCGAATTTATCCATCATGGGCTAAAGCCTTGCTTATATTCCTCGTCATCATCACCGTCCTGCCTGTCCCTGTCTACTTCTTCTACACCATCATCATTCGGGTGGTTTCTCCTGTCTCCACGATCCACAATACGGCCATAATAACCTTCCAACCTGAAGCTAAGGGGGACTCACCGAAGGTTGGTCCACGGCTTCAGGTGAGGCAAAAAAGACAAAAGATTATTAAAATGGATAAACCAAAAACAGAGGGAAAACTTTCTGCCCTGTGAATAATTCCTATTGGAAATAAAGACTTGGTTCATTTGGCACAACATCACTCCTTTATCAAGGTGGAACTCTCTGGTTGGCAACTTGTATTAGAAGAGGCAAATGCAGAAATTGCTAATGTAACTGGACCCAAATACCAGTTTTCCTGGACTGGCAAAGTTTTTCTGGCCTGATAGGAATTAACATAGCAGTCATTCCCTGTATTTCCCACACTTTCCCTCATCAGACCTGTAATAATGGTGTTCTTGACTTCCGGTATTTGGTTAATGGTAAATGCTGATACTACTTCTCCTGGGCTACTTTCCTCTTGGAATTGGTCTGTGTAAGGTTCTGGTCCCTATGAAATCAGGGCAAAAATAATCCTGGTAAATTAATCAGTTCAGTGAAACTTTACTTTTGTCATAAAGAAAATCCCAGTTTCCAGTATTGCCTCCCATTGACTGTTAAATTCAAATGCTAGAACCCCAGGTCCTCTCTTCCTGTTTCTTCCTATAAGTACACTAGACCAAACAGAGTAGTCGCTGATTATGGCAAAGCAGTTAACCATCTGCTAATTGGTGACCTTGTCAATATCTCTTAAATACCAAGAGGCTTAAAACTTTTCACAACATCGTATTTTCTACGAAGGTGGTCTGGGGGTTTCGAAAAAGGATATTTGGCAGGGAATGAGGAGGACAGTAGAGGCTGACTGCAGATACTGAAGAAAACCCAAGGAGGATTCATTTTGGGCACCGTGACAAAAAAATAAGACAAAACACTCTTTATTACAAGACACCTAAATGTAGCATAAAACATATCAACCATCCTCTGCAAATGTGTAAATGAGCTTAGAATAAATTAGAAGAAATCTTTAAGAGGCCAAAAATTAATTCTAAACTTGAATTAAGATAGGTAAGGTAGTAAAGCTTAGTAATCACTTTGGGGGAATTGCCACTGTCTGGTAAGTTAGGGATTTTGATTTCAAAGGCGAGGTGAAGACAAAGCCTTGGTTCCATGAAAGGAAAAGAAACCCCTGTACATAGAAAGCTTAAGGACTGTACTCTCTGCAAAAGAGTTAAATAACAATAAAATGCATATGTCTGTTTCTGTCTTTGATAGGAGAGAAATAGTTTACTTTTTGAGAATTTGTAACTCTTATGTGGAATTTTGGTTCAAATTCACACAACTGGCATAATCTGAAAAATCCAAGTTGGGATGAGCATAAAAGGTGTCTGGTGGATAGCACCTTGCCCCAGCACCTGTCATAAGTACATATAATTAATCTTGGGGAAACACAACTTCTACCAGGCTTCATAGGATTCCCACCAATAAACTACCAATGAACATGAGATAACAAAAAGAAATCACAAAAATACTCAAGGAAATGAGGCACCCTAAAGGGAGGATTAGCAGAATCAACAATGAGCAGAATCAGACCTGCAAAAACCTTATATATCAGAATTATCCAGTATATAATAGAGAATAAATGTGCTTAACATACTTAAAGACAAAAAGAAAGAGTTGAAATTAAGAACAAGGAGCAAGAGATTCCCAGAAATGATCAGAGTATTTGAAAAGGGTATTTGAAAAGAACTTTTAGAAATGAAAAAATCATTTGGATTTAAAACATCAATGGGTAAGTTAAACAACAAATTAGAAAACTGACAGACAAATCTAAAGAGAACATAATGATGTAGCACAGAGAAACTATGGAGTTAAAAATATGAGTTTAAACCTTAAGTGTCAAAAAAAAAAAAACCAAAACCTAAGTGTCCATTGACCGATGAATGGATAAAGATGTGTACATATATACAATGGAATATTACTCAGCCATAAAAAGGAATGGAATTATGTCATTTGTAGAGACATGGATGAACCTAGAGTCGCCATACACAATGAAATAAATCAGAAAGAGAAAAACAAATATCCTACATTAATACACATATGTGGAATCCAGAAAAATGGTACAGATAAACCTAGTTCCAGGGCAGGAATAGAGATTCAGACAGAGAATGGACATGTGGACACAGGGCAGGGGAAGGTGGGATGAATTGGAGGATTGGGTGTGACATAAATACACTACTGTGTGTAAAATAGATAGCTAGTGGGAACCTGTGTAGCACGGGGAGCTGCTCAACTTGATGCTCTGTGGTGACCTAGATGGGTGGGACTGGGCCTGGGGGGAGACCCCACGAGGGAGGGGATATATGTGCGCATATAACTGATACATATAGCTGATTATGTCATTGTGCAGCAGAAACACAACATTGTAAAGTAGTTATACACCAATAAAAATAATATGAGTTTAAGAGACATGGAGAATAGTGGGACAAAGTTCAACACACCTCTAATAGGAATTCCAAAAAGAGATCTTTGGAAGACTAGGGGAGAGACAATATACAAAGACAAATAAAAAGATGACCATATTCCCCAAATCAAGGAAAGACTCAAATCCTTGGACTGAGAAAACATAACAAATTGAAAAGAAGATTAAATAAAAGGAATGCTGCAGTATCCCGAAAATAAAGAACAACCAGGCAGAAAAGACATTACCTATAAAGTATCAACAGAAACAATAAAAATCTATTTATTAGGACTGGAAAAGAGTTCTATTTGAGCCAAACTGAGAGCTACAGCCCTGGAAATACAGAGTTAAGAAGCACTTCAATTGTGTTCTGCTAGACTACAAGATGGAGGCAGCTTATAAAGGCAAAAACTGCAAAATTATATGTTTTTTTTTTATCAAGATTATAATCAGAGGCTGCAAGAAATAAAGATGTTTATTAAGCAAGGATTGGTTAGGGTCCAAAATGGTTGCCTAGTTTTACAGGAAGACCTTGAGGTCTCAGGTTGCAGCTGGCAGCTGCTAGCAGACACTGTTTTGAGAATTCCTGGTGGTGTCTTTGAGTCTGATACAGTCCAGAAAATTCAAGTTCTCAGTGATGGAGGAACCTGTCTGAAACCATATCCACAATGGCCATCCAGCTCCAATTTGGATGCCTGAACCGCAATTTCTCCATTTTCACTTTTTAAAAGGGTTAAAAGCAAATGTACAATGACTCAAAGGACATGAGTTTGATCAAGCTTCTGGAGTTGCTGATGGACAGGGAAACCTGGCGTGCTGCAGTTCATGGGATGGGAAAGAGTCGGACATGACTGACAACTGAACTGAACTGAACTGAGCCATATATGTTTGATAGGCCACAGGCGGGCTGTTTTGGTTATCATAAAGCTTGAATTACATCACGTATAAGTTAGAATGACTTTCATATACTTCAATATGTGAAAATTTCTTCCATCAAAAGGAATGACAGGACTTCCCTGTTGGTGCAGTGGATAGGAATCCGCCTGCCAATTCAGGGGACACAGGTTTGATCCCTGGTCCAGGAAGAAGCCACCACAACAAGAAGCCCTGAGAGTGCAACGAAGAGTAGCCCTACTCTCGGGAACTGGAGAAGGCCCTCCTGCGGCAGCAAATACCCAGCGCAGCCAAAAATAAATAAATAAAATGTACGAAAAGGAATGACAGTCCACAGCTGGTTTCTTATCAACTGCAAGAGAATCCAGGGTACAGCAGAAGAGTATCTGGCAAGAGGTGAAAGTAACTGTCAACTTAAAAACGTAAATCCAGCGAAAACAATTTCTCTAGAACAAAGCAAAACAGAGATTTTTCAGGGAAGTGCAACACTTTTCCACCCACAAATCTTTGGTAAAGAATATACTTCAAAAAAAAAAAAAAAAGAATATACTTCAAGGAGGACTTCCCTGGTGGTCCAGTGGTTAAGAATCCGCCTGCCAGTGCATGGGACACAGGTTTGATCCCTGATCCGTGAAGATTCCACATGCTGCAGGGCAACTAAGCCTGCACATTGTAACTACTGAAGCCTGAGTGCTGTAGGACCCATGCTCCACAAGAGTGGCCTCTGCACTGAGAAGCATGTGCAACTGGAGAGTAGCCCTCGAACATGGCAGTGAAGACCCAACGCAGTAAAAAAATAATAATAACTTGTTTCTAATTAAAAATTTTTTTTAAAGATTTAAAAAAAGAATATATCTCAAGAAGTAGTAAAATAATCCCAGAAGGCAAGTCTGAGACCTGGGACAGAAGAAATGCTGAGCCAAGAAAATGATAACAATGTGGGTAAATGTAAACACATATTAACTCTTATAAAGCAATAATAGCAATAGTTAATTTGTAAGGTTAAAAAACTGACAAACAGCTAAAATACTGGGCAGCTATATATAATACATAGCTGGATGGAGAATGATAAACTCAGCAGAATGATAAACACCGATCTTTAGACTTTGATAAAAATGCATGTTAAAGTTTCAAGGGTAACTACTAAAAAAGGAACAGTTTATAATTTCTGATTAGCTAAGGTAAATAATGATAGCCTCTTTAACAGGTCAAACAAAATCTCAATGAATTCCAACAATCAAATTTTATTTCCTGCTTACATCAGAATACAGTACAATATAGCCTGGAATGGGAGTGGTGCTCTCTCTTTCATCTTAGGCCCTTCCCTCCTCTAGGTTCTGGAGTTCTTTCCAGTGAGCTGGTGCATGTGGAAAGAGAATGAGTTTTATGGGCCAGATCTGAAAGTGAAGCATGTCACTTTTGTTCACACTCTATTCACCAGAACAATAAGACTGCAAGAACCGGGGAGCACTGCTGTTAGAAAACACTAGTAACTGCTGCTGCATTCACACGCCAGTGGCGGGGGTGGCAATCAATCCAAAAGAACGCAGAACAAAATGTCAAAAGTTAATAAAGAAAAAGTGAGACAAGTAGAAGATAAAATATTAGAAATAAATCCACTTATACTAGTCATTGCAGTTATTTATACATGGACTTGTAAAAAGGCAAATACTGAAGACTGAATTGTTTTAAATCCAGCTCACTGCTATTTATGTGTTGTTTTTCAGTCACTCAGTCGTGTCTGACCCTTTG